AGAAATCATCAACAAAGTAAAGAGACAAACATCCGAATGGGAAAATATATTTGCAAACAACACCTCCGATAAGGGCCTAATATCTAAAATATACAAAGAACTCATACAACTCAGCAACAACAAAAAAACTAACGATCCAATCAAACAATGGGCACGGGACCTGAACAGACACTTCTCCCTAGAGGACATATAAATGGCCAACAAATATATGAAAAGATGTTCAACATTGCTCGCTATTAGGGAAATGCAAATCAAAATCACAATGAGATACCATCTCACACCTGTTAGAATAGCTGTTATAAACATGACAAGTAATAACAAATGTTGGAGGTGATGCAGAGAAAAGGGAACCCTCATACACTGCTGGTAGGACTGCAAATTGGTATAGCCACTATGGAAAACAGTATGGAAGTTCCTCAAAAAACTAGGAATTGATCTACCATATGATTCAGCAATCCCACTACTGAGTATTTACCCCAAAGACTTGAAAACCGATATCCAAAAAGATATTTGCACACTGATGTTCATAGCAGCATTATTCACGGTGGCCAGGACATGGAAGCAACTAGGCAACATGGATGGACCTCGAGATAATCCTGCTAAGCGAAATAAGCCAGACAGAAAAAGTTGAAAATCACATGATATCACATATGTGGGATATAAACCTAAAAGCAACAAATGAACAGGAAAAACAGAGATTCATGGAGGTGGACTATAGATTAGTGGTTACCAGAGGGTAGGTGGTGGGGGAGGAGGGGGTGCTTAGATGAGGTAAAGAGGGTCAAATATGTGTTGACAGAAAGAAATCTAACTATGGGAGGTGAACACACAGTGTAAATATATATATGTCTTACTGTTAAAGTGTATAACTAAAACTTATTGGATTCCGTTAACCAATGTCACCATAAAAAAGAAATAAATTTTAAAAAATTAAAAACATTTTTACATCAAAGAACATGATCAAAAAAGTAAAAAGACAACTGACAGATGGAAGAAAATATTTGCAAATCATATATCTGATAAGGGCCTACTATCTATAACATACAGAATTCTTACAACTTAACAATAAGATTAATAACATATTAAAAAGTAGGCAAAAGATCTGAAAAGTCTTCTCCAAAGATATAAAAATGGGCAGCAAGCACATGAAAAAATGTTCTTAGTCTTCAGAGAAATGCAAATCAAAACTACAATGAGATACCACTTCATATCCACTATGATGGCTAAAATCAGGACAGATAAAGATATGGAAAAATTGGAACCGTCGTACACTGGTGGTGGGAATGTAGGTAACCATTTGACCCAGCAATTTCACTCCTACATATGTGCCCAAGAAAAGTAAAAATATATGTCCTATATACAAATATTTATACTACCATTATTCGCAGTAGTCAAGAAGCTGAAATAACCCAAATGTCTGACTGATGAATAGATAAACAAAGTTACTCACTCATTAAAAGGAATAAAGTTTTGATATATGCTACAATATAGATGAACCTTGAAAACATTATGCTAAGTGAAAAAAGCTAGTCATTAAGGACCATATATTGAATGATTCCATTTATATGTAATATCTGGAGTAGGCAAATAAAGATAGAAAGAGATTAGTGGTTGCTTAGGGCTTGGGGATAAAGGGATGACAGCTGAAGGGTATAGGACTCCTTGTTGAGTTGATGAAATGTTCTAAAACTGACTATGGTAATGACTGCACATGCCTGTGAATCTAGAAATACCACTGAATTGTACATTCTAAGCAGGTAAATTGTACGGTATGTAAAGCTATTATAAAAAAAGGGAAAAGAGGAAAGATCTTGGAGGTCAGAATGTTGGATAAAGATATGGGCAAACATGCAACAGCTCTGAAGAAACATCTGCATAAAATAATACTATAAATTATTATTTTAAAAAAGAATAAGACAAATAGAACTGTGGACAATAACTGCATGTGTTGAGAGAGTTAACTGTAATTAAAGTATCCTAATACCTTATATTGTGTGTTTGTGTGGCCAGGCTTGTGTGGTAGGGACAGGGTGGTTAAGTTATTGATTAACTTTAGACTTTAAATATGCATGGTCAAATTGGAAGAAATAGAAACAGTGTATAAACCTCTAAACTAATAGAGGAAAAAAAAATGGAATATAAAAAAATGGAATATAAAAAAGCAAAAGTGAACAGACGTCAGCAAACTACAGGCTGAGATCCAAATCCAGCCTGCCACTTGTTTTTGTGAATAAAGTTTTACTAGAACACAGCTGTGCTCGTTTATATTTGTCTATGGTTCTCAGTTACAATGGCAGAGTGGAGTCCCTGCAACAGAGACCAGCTGGCCTACAAAGTCTAAAGCATTTACTATCCAGCTCTTTATAAAGAGAATCTGCTTGATTCCTGCTACAGAATGCTACACACAGACAGAAAGCAAGAGTCACTCTGGGCTAGTTTCCTGAGCCTGGAAATAAACACAATGTCCCCTCCACTTTCATTTCATCAGAGGGACGTTAGATAAACAGCCTTCAAGAAAGAACTTTAACAGTATGTGGCTGAGGAATGTTCTCAACCTGCTTCCCAGCTTATGCTTCACAACATCCCTGTCGATTCCAAACACCAGATACTAATTCCTTCAGACAAAGAGAGGCACATTCTTATATTCCAACAGAGAGACCTTATGCCACATTATATTAAATGTAAGCTGGCAAACAATGCATATAATATGGACAATCCCCTGAATGGTTTGAGAGTGAGTGTGTGCGTGCGTGCGCGCGCACACATGAGTGTTTGTGTAAGTGTGTGAAGTTCTGAAAAGACACATACTGTTAGCCATAGATATCTATTGCTTGGGCAGGAATACAGTCACATTTCATACAATACTCTCACTGCTTATTTAGAGATAATTACAGGTTTACATGCAGGTGTTACAAATAATGCAGGAATCCTGAGTGCCTTTTACCCAATTTCCCCCAATAGTGACATCTTACAGAACTACATAGTACAATATTACAGCCAAGATAGTGATACTGATACACTCCACGATCTTATACTGATCTCCCAAGTTTTACATGTACCTCTGTGTGTGTGTGTGTGTGCGTGTGTGTGTGTATTTTATCACATGTGTAGGTTCGTACATCTACTACCACAGTGAAGACACAGAACAGTTCCATCACCACAATTGGCATCTACCTTCCTTCTACCTCTTTCCCAACCCATGGCCACAACACAACTTTGTCACTTCAAGAAGGACATCTAAACAGAATCATAGTGTGTAACCTTTTGGGATTGGCTTTCATCACTCAGCACAATTTCCTGGAGATTCAATCAGGGTTCTGTGTGTATCCAGAGTTCATTCCTTTTCATTGCTCAGCAGTGCTAGTTTGTACAACCTGTTGTAGGTCACCTGCTGACAGACACTTGGGTTGTGTCCAGGTTCTAGCTATTCTATTTAAGGCTGCTATGAACACTCCTGCACAGGATTTTGGGCGAGCATAAGTATTGCTTTCTCTGTGATAAGTGCCCAGGAGTGCTGGGTTACAGGCTACTTGCATGTTTAGTTTCGTATGAAGCTGTTATACTGTTTCCCACAGTGGCTAGTGCCACTTTACATCCCCACCAGCAGTATCTGAGTGACCCAGTTTCTCTGCACCAGCATTCAGTGTTCTCCCAATGTACTTATTTCAGCCATTCTGATAGTTGTGTAAAGGTTGTTTGAATCTCTTACAAGATTATGTTTACATATGAAGTTTAAAAAACTGAAATAAAATTAAAAAGTAATCCATCCTTATTTAGTAGAAATTTTAAAAAATATAGAAATCTATAAAAAAAAAGGAAGTCCTATATTTCTGTTCTTCAAAAAGAAGCAAGCTATAATTTATTCTTAAATCAATGTACCCAAGTTCCAGGCAACATAAGGCAGATATTGTCTCTTTATTCTGAAGCAGAAGCCCCACTTTTGGACCTCTCCCCACCTTGAAGACAGCTCTGCCTTCAGAAGGGAGCTCCTCAGTCCTTATCCTCGAAAACCCAACAGGTGCAGAAGAGGGAGCAGCCAGCCTCGGCCAGAGACATCAGTGGGAACCACAGACACATCATCAGTACCAAGAAAGATGAGCTGAGGGCTCCAGGGCAGCTGTCCATGTGCACGCAGAGGAGGTTTTGTTCTTGCCTTTTGTCACCTTGCTCCCATAACAAAAGAGTTCCTTAATTGTTTTAGCATCTAGCAACACCTTTGGGAGCCCAGTGAAGCCTACAGATGCCTCCAAACAACATTTTTAAATGCAGAAAATAAGAAACAGAAGGTGAGCATATCAGATACCAAATTTTTTAAAGACAAATGTGTTATGTAGAACTATATAACCAAACATCAGGAGTGATGAATACAAAGTTATCATGAAAGAACTGTAGCAACTGTATGTGAAATGAAAGGTCTGATTTCTTGCAGTGTAGTCAGGAGTCCTGCTGACCCTACTGTGGTTGTTGCCATATTCATAATGGAAGGAAATGCTAAATTTCAGTTAGAGGTTAGTAAAAGTGTAATTTTTTTTCTACCGAAGTTCATGGTGCCTCTGAATTCCTTCATTTGACAGAACCAAAAAAAAACAGGACCGGAACTCTTCCCTAAGAGATTCTCCAAGCTACCCCTTGGCCTGAGCTCGGGGGGAAGAAAGCCATACTCCAGCCATGGCCAGGCCCCCAGTGACAGCTGCAAAGATGGTTGGCACCAGTTGGTTCTAAGATTGCTGAGAAGGAAGCGCAGAGAGGTGCCCCTGGGTCCTGGACCCCAGGATGGGGGTACAGAGAGGTCTGGGCCCGGGGGTGGACTGGAGCCAAGTGAACAAATCCTTACCCGGCCCAGTCCATCTGGGGGAAACTTTAGCCATTTTTTTTAATACCCAAGTTTTCTGTTTTAACCATCGGGGATAGGTAGTGGGAAACCTGTCTCAGGAAAACCCCAAGGGAGTGTTGTTAAGAGCCTAAGGAGCACACAGTGTGTTTCCAAAAAGGTCTACCCACCTTTGTCAGTGCAAAGCCCACTGTCCCATCATCCTCAGTAGAAAGATCAAGCAACTTCTGGTAGAATGCTTCATCGTAAGGTCCATCTATTTGCAATGTTTTTCTGAAGGAAAAGGCACAGAAAGCAAGATGACAAAGCTGACTGGAAATTGCTTCTTAAACTGCTAACAATTTAACAATCGCACATCTGGTATTAAAGAACATCTAACTGATCTTCCTCTTCCTAATACTGTATTTTGTCCCAGGGCATCAAAGTTTTAAAGAGGACTTGCAAGACCAGAACCCGGGGAGCTGAGGCTGAACATGATCTATTTATGACAAACAGCTTCCGGGTCAGAGATCCTAGTGAAGGGGCAGTGGGGAAAAAGGGGGTCCCAGCCTCTACCACATGCTGCAGGTGTGGACCCCAGCAACCCCCATCAGGAGGGCCAGGGGAGGAACTGTTGCACAGGAAGGCCTCAGACAGAAAGCCAGGGCTTGGGCAAAGAGGCTTGCAGCTGTGGAGCAGCACTGCCCTCTGCAGGCTCGGCCCTGATTCAGGACATAGAACTGCCTGATGCGGATTGTTAGATTCACAGGATGTGCTTTCTTTTCCAGAAAAGCACCAGTGACGCCAGTTCCTCCTGCAAGCAGCACTGAATCCCCTGGCTGGGCCTGGCACCTGGGGGCAAGAAAGGAAGGTGGCTGGAGTGAGTCACCTTCCTGGGAAGTCTGTACTGTCTTTCTGTTGGGGTATCCCCTCCCCCCATTCCCCTCTTACCCTCAGGGCTGCTCATGGCCCCATATGGGCCTGGAAGGGGCACCACAGGCCCAAATCTCACCTCTGCTCGGGAAACTCCTCCAGGTACTGCTCAACTCGTCGGTACAGAGGGTAGAGACCTTCGATGTCCAGCAGATCCAACATCTGCACCTGGAGGGTTTTGTACAGAAGACAACCCTTCGGTAACCCCGAGCGCTCCAGGCTGCTTTTTCCTACCAAGAACATCAGGGGAAAATGAGAGGCTTACTGTCAAGAACTGAAGAAGTTGGTGGGCACAGGCTGCACCCTGCCTCATGGAGTTGCTGGGACTGTTGGCACATGCATGGCGCCAAGCACAAAAACAAAAGGAGCAGGTAACCCACATCTTGCTCCGTGCCTCTCTTGACTCTCAGCATCTTTCAATTCCATCCCACCAGCGCAGATCTAAGTTTAGGGAGATAACCCTCAGTCTAAATAGGGTTAGACTATTATCAAAATTGATAACCATGCCGACATTTCCAAATCTGCGAGACCATGTCTGTGGAGCCCAGAGCCATAGCCCACACAGAAAGGTGGGTGGCCACACTGAGAACAGTGGCGATTCGTTATGCCTGGGCAGCTACATGGCAAAAACAATACCTAAAAGCCAAACGGCGGCAGGGCTGCCATCTTCCTACACCACAACCCTACGGCCTTCCTCACAGGGCTCTTAGCACAAAAACTAAAGACTCAGTTTTCCTAGTTGGCCTCCCAAAATAAGTTCCTGGCTGTGGCTCTGCATGCCACAGACCTGAGCATATTGTGGAGCTACCAGCAGATGACAAAGGGGCAAATGAGGAACCCATAAACACTCATGACAAAAACCAGCAGGCCACCTCAAAGTTGGAACATCACTGAGTCACAGCTGGCCACTGTGAGTCTGTGAGCAACATGGGCCTCTAGCAGGAGGTACCCAGAGCCAGAGGCCCTGAATGCCTGTGTTCACACCTATCTGCAAATTGCTGCCAGGTGGGGCCACCCCCTATCCTGAAGAGCCTGAACTGTGGGACTCCAACTTCTGTGCCTCAGTTCTCTGCATTTTAAGAAAAAGGCCAAGAAAACCTACTACCAGGGTTGCAAAGACGATGAACCAATATAATATAGAGAAAGCACTCAGGAAACCGCAGAGGATGCACAGACATGAGGGACGATGTTTTAGGGAAAACTCTACAACCTAAATGTGTGCAATTATAAACAATTTATAAACCCAGACTGAAGATGAGAAAGGGAGTCTTCCCACCTGGGGCTGAGAGGCAGGGGGCTGGCTTTGGGGAACTCTGTCGGGGCCCTGGCTGCTCCCGCAGAAGCTCCATGAAGCCAGCAGGACACATGCAGGCCTCACCCCAGGCTCTGCCCACTCACCCACCTGCCCCCACCCGGCCTACCTTGGTGACGCAGGCTCTTGCCGAAAGGGCTGGCTTCACAGACACATGGGCCCCGTGACCCGGGCCCCAGCCTTAGGGCACCCGCCCGGCCCTTGTCCGAGCCACTGAGCAGCACCCGAGTGATGACACGCACCAGCTCTCGGATCACAGCCCTCGTGCAGTGAGGCCCGCTGGCCAGGCCATTGGATGGGAAGAAGAAGGGCTTCAGGTGATGCGCCAGCTCACTCCAGTCAGCCGCAGGGCTGCGGGCATCTTTGCAGCCATAAATCAACTCCCCGTTCTTCAGAAGGGAAAAGGGACAGAGAAGTGTCACTTCCAACAGGTGGGTAGGGAAGTACCTCTGTCCCCACCCCACTGGGCAGGCAAAGAGACTTGACATCATATATGTGCCCTATCTGGGGTCTCTCCACACTGTAGCTCTGTGAGAAAACCCACCCTCATGCACCCTGACACAAGTCCCACTAGAACATGAAAAAGAAGAAAAGTTCTCAAAAACTGAAGACCAGAGTCCTGGCCTAGAATACAAACCCTCAGACCAGAATGCAGCACATTGGCAGCAAACCCAGCCTACAGCTCAAACTCTCAAAGACCCCAACCAGTTACTCAAGAGGCTGTGTGACACTCATGCTCCTGAAAGACATGTGGTATCAGTTGGACCCTGAGCAGGGAAACTTCTCAGTCGGTGTGGAGGTCTGTGGTGACCAGCTCTCTAGAGGGCTTCTGTCCCATGTGACAAGTTGGGCCAGGCACCCACCAGGGTTTGTGGGGCCACCAGCAACACTATTATGGAAATCTTCATCTTTGAGGCCATCCTGCCTTCTAAGACCAAGTCCAGCAAAGGAACTCCTTATGGCACCAATGTTCCCAGGCCTGAAGGCAGGGACACCAATGGGCCCAACACTATGACTTGGGGGTGGGGGGTTGTGTTGTTTGATAAAAAGCCCTTAAGAGAACTCTGGTCCCCACCACCCTGAGCAGCAGCTGACACCATGGGAGTGGCAAACCCCTTGCCCCTAGTTTCTCCATCTGTGAGACAGGATGGTCAGCTACTCAGCACAGACCCCAATGGCCCCATCTCATGATACACTCTGTAGTCCTCTCCACACTGGAGGTTTGGTCTGTGTGACCAACAGAATATGGGCAGAATGACAGCTCATCCTCAGAAAGATTAAGTTACAAAAGATGCCATGGCTTTCACCTTGGTGGCTCTTTTCTCAGATCACAGCAGCCATGTTGAGTAGCCCTGTGGAGCCCCTTGTGGCCAGGAAAGAAGACCTCCTACCCAGGCTGGGGCGAGAGTGCCATCCTGGGAGCAGAGACTCTGGCCCAAGCTCAGCCTTCAGATGGGAGGCAGCCTCTAAAGAGACCTTGAGTCAGAATCAACTAAACTTCACACCTGGAACTTCACAACAACAGAAGGCATGGGCTTCAGAACCAGAGATGGCTTGTTGGAAGTGACAGCACGTGCGAAAATGTACTGCATTGCTCAATTCCTGGCCACAGAAACTGAGACAGTTAAGAAGTGGCTATTATGCAGCAGTAGATAACGTTGATGAGGATGATCCTTGCTCTGCTGCCAGGTGGCAGACGGGAGTCAACTCAATCCAATAACAAGTGTGGACAGGGCAGTCCTCACTTGGCAAGGTCCTGGGATCCAGCAGCATGACGCCTCCCCTAGGAGGCTCCTATGGCAGTGAGAGCTAACCGTATGGGTGTCCAGGGCGATGAGGACATAGCTTAGGCCACAGGACCAGGGGAAACCATTAAGAGACACTGACCCTTGAGATGGGCCGTACAGTAGGAAGAGGGTGTGGGAGGAGGGTATGCCAGGCAAAGGGAAGGCAGGAGCTCCCAGGAGGAAAGTAGGCAAATAAGAAGTGGTGAGCCAAAACCAGGCACCATGGGCTGCAGCCAGGAGGTGGGCCATGATTCAGCCTGCAGTCTAGTGCAGTGTGGCTCACTGTGAAGCTGGTCCTTCCTCCCAATCCATGAGTGGTTGAATGACCCGTAGAAGCGGAAGGCCTCTTTTCCCCAGTGTCTGGAATCTGGATAGATGGGAGTTTTACATATACAAATACAGTGGCTCAAGGACATCATGGGACATTTGGTAAAGAACCATCATTCCAGACTCCATGACTACCCCACGTGTCCCCCTAGCAAGTCTCACAAGTGACCAGTGCTGGGGTGGACAGAGCCACAGCCATGGAGACTGTGAACAACACTTGGACACACAGTATGATGACAGCACTGACCATGACCCAGGAAATTTCTCCACACTTGGAACTTCACAACGGAAGGCATGAGCTTCAGAACCAGAGCTAGCTTGTTAGAAGTGATGGCACTTGCAAAAATGTACTGCATTGCTCCAGGAGTTATTTTTAAAAGCTATTCTGTGTCCTTTCTCTTAATCTATCTCTTTGGAAACTATTATCTCAACCTCTGGATTGTTTTCCATGCTGATTTCAAAATAAGCGGCAGACAGCCAGACTCAGGCCCCAAGCCTAGGACAGGGCATCTATCCAGGGGCCAGGCCAGACCTACCACTCCGCTTAAATGTGGGCTCAACAAGCCAGCCCAGTCAGGGGCAGTCAAAAAATGGTCCACTTGGGACAAAATGCAAGCCGTACTCTAGGTTTCAAATTAATCTCTAGATGAAAGGAAATTTATCTTTAGAATTTAAACATAAAATTCATGAAGTCTTTATATGAATTAAAAATATAAACTTACTTTAAAATATGTCCTCCCTTTCTAGATTTGGGAAGGTGGAGGCAGACGTGGTAAAGTTGATTCACTCTGACCAGATTTCTGAGCCAGATGAGGGGAAGCGATCAAGAATAGGTTCCCCAGCACCCTCCTTCCCCTACACCACGCTCCCTTCTGAGGGCTGTGTGTAGAACAGCGCCATCCACTCAGTGTAGAACACATAGAGCACAAAGCTGTCCAGATCCAACAGTCCTGCTTTTCTACACAGAACTGATGTCTGCAAGCCTAGAGCCTGTCACAAACTCTCACTTGATTTCACAGTTAATTAGGACATAAATGAGACTGGGGACAGAGTCAGTGGCAAGGAGAAAAACAGATGATAAGGGGGACCCCAGGGGACACATTTCCAACACAGGCCACAACTAGCTCTCCTCCAGATCTGGGCCAGCCTTGTTCCCCTCTCCCTGCACCCCATCCAATGCCCTGACTTCTGCTAGCACCAGGCCAGCCAACAAGGCTTCAGTGAGCCTGGGTCAGGGCGGCAGCTGCAGGTAGCAATGAGGAAGGAGCCTATGCCAGATAATGAATGTTCCATATGCAGAACCCTCCCTTGCACAGCCAAAACACAGGATGATCAGAGCTGCAGGACTTGGAGAATTCACTAATTGACAAGGGGGTATGCAAATTATAAGTTCCCTAAGTTAACCAGAAACAAAACGCACAGGTGTGGCTACCGTCCAGGTTGTGCCACTCTAGTTCCTGCTCCTACCTCAACCACACAGCCCTCAGAGATGCACAGAACCATGTCAGGGCTATCCTCATCCAAGGCCAGGATCAGCATTTGGATGTCAAAGGAGCCTGATGCCACCCAGTGGTCAAGGAGTCGATATCACATTCCCAAGGGATCACAGGATGTTATGCCCATGGAATAGGCCTTGGAAAAGTGATCCAAAAGACTGTGCTAAGGCAGACCTAGCCCAGATGCCCTCATATGTAAGCTGACAGAGACCCATCAGGGACCAGAATGCCAGTTCACCTGGCTCAGGCCAGGCACCCACTGGTTCCATCCCAAAAGGGCCATAAAACAGAAGCAACTCTTACCTTAAATATCTTTAAGTTGTTCTGTGCCTCCCGCAACAAGCTTTTCAAAGCAAAGTACATTCTCTGTTTATTTCTAAAAGGGGGAAAAATTACTGATGGAATTACAAGCAGTCTTTGCATTCACCTGCCTGTGTCTCAGGAGACGTGGTTCAGGGGACATGCCTGGGAGTGGCTACTCCAGGTCTCTGAGCTTTGCAGGTTAAGGAGCCACATTCTCCCCAATCCTCCTCACAGAGGCACCCCCATCATTGCCCTTAATCCCCATCCTGCTCTCAGCTCCTTCCTTGTGGCAACATCTCCCCAGGTGGTGGCTCCCACAGGTAGCTTGCAGGAACCTATGGAGGCAACCCCGATCCCAGGGAAGAAACTAAGCCCTGCCCAGGGCCCTGGCTATACTCAGGCCAGTAGCCCCACCTCGCAGAATGCCAGCTCCACCCTCACACCTGTACCACCCCCACTCACAGAACTCCCCACAGAATGACCTCCCATGGCCCCCACCTCACAGAACACCCCACCATCCCCACCACCAAGAAAGGTGGCACTAGGGACAAAGTAGAAGTGTTCTCTTACCCTGAGTAGAGATCAAGGGGACAGTATTTACTTATCTGTTTCCATTTCCCAGTTGCCACCTGTTAAGAAACCACAACGTTGTGTCAAGTGATTGGATTGGGGGCAACACTGGGCTAATGTTAACAGAGAACAGCTGAAGTGACTAAGATGACGAAGGTCCCAGCAGACGCCACCACCTTCGGGTGCACTAGCTGAGGTGGTCTTGACTCTAAACCAGGAAACCTTGGCCCTCCTCTGAGAGCCTCATGTGGCTGCCAGCCCAGCCTTCTATGTGAGCAGGGAAGCAACAGCAACCATCTTTTTCAAATGACATGGCTAAACTTTGGTAAACAGATGAACAAGTCTTTAAAATTATAATATCCAGGAAGGGAAGGGTGTGGCTAATAAGTAATTTCATGTTGTCAGTGAGAAGGAAAATTGGCACAATCTTTTGAAAGGCAACTTGCTGGTTTCTACCAAAATTTAAAATGTGGGTGTCTCTTGACTCGGCAAATCTACAAGGAATATGAGGTCAAGAATGTTCACTGCCGCCTAACTGTAATAGCAAGACCTGGAAACAACTAAGTAAACACAGTACATCTGCTCTCATGAGCCAGGACACAGCAGGCCACATGTGGAATGTAGAAAGAGATAAATGATACGCAGCCACTAACAGAAAGGCAGAGCTAAAAATCATCAAGATTTAGTCAAGGAAAAAAGCAACTGGAAAACAAAGCGTATGATGTCACTTTTGCTAAAAATAAATAGATGGTAGATGGAAGGAAGGAAGGAGGGAGGGAGGGAGGGAGGGAGGGAGGGAGGGAAGGAAGGAAGGAAGGAAGGAAGGAAGGAAGGAAGGAAGGAAGGAAGGAAGGAAGGAATATGTGCATCTATAGATGCATATATCCAAATATGCAATGAAAAAGCCTTGAAGGATACATAAAACAAATGATCCTCAAGGATTATTTAAGTGAAAAATTAGCAGAACAATTAAATGTGCCAAGATTCCATATTTACTTTAGAAATGTGTGTATGTACACACATTGCATATTTGGATATATGCATGTATAGATGCACATGCAAGCGCACAGTAGAATATGTGTAGAGACAGGCATCACTTCATTTCCACTTGAATAACGTGTATATTTTTTTTTGACACAGGAAGAAGTCTGGAAGGATGTGCAAAATGACAACATGAGTTACCTCTGGGAAGGCAGGTGACTTAATTTACAGAATTCCGTATTCATCAGTTAAATGAGAAGGTATTGTTTCATAGTTAAAAACAGTTCTTAAAAATCCACCATATATATTGAAAATAAACAGTGACAATGAAAACTATCTCCTAGAAGGAATGGCTCATATACTTTCTTTTCCCTAAGGGCATAGAGAGTTATAACACCAAGAAAAGATGGGGTGAGTCAGCAAAAATGGTGGAGTAAAGACTGCTGGAAATTCTTTCCTCTATACAGGCAATGAGAAAACTGGCAAAAACTGTCAAAATCAAAATTTTCATAACTCTGAAAATTAACCAAAGGTTTGCAACAATCTAGGGAGCATTTATTCAGAAAACGGCCAAATTTAAGTCAGAATGGTGAGCTTCGTGGCACTTTTAATATTCTATTCCCACCTCTTCTTTTTCTAGTTCCAAAGGAACCCTGAAACCAACGGCCCTATCATGATGAAAACAGATGCTTGGCAGCCTCCAGAGAATGCTGAACAGGATGGGAACTTCTCCAAAGCCTCAATCCCAAAGAATGGTCGATATTTGACCAGTTTCTTGGTTTCCTGTCTTCAGTCTCAGAGCTTACAAGGGGCATTTCTCCCCAGGGAATTTATAAAAAATACTGTTTAACTTCATGATCTCCTGAATAATGTATAACAGTTGTGGCAAACAATAGGCTAAACTGAAAGCTAAAAAGAAAAAGCTGAAGAGTGAGACATACACAGGGCTTTGAAAAACTCCAGCCTATCTTGGGCACCATGCGCAACCTCCAGAAAGACCAGGAGAGACCCTCAACCCTGCTGATCTGAGGCTTTGTGCAAGTGAAGGCTAAGGCAGAGTTGCCAACTTTACCACTGACGGTTGATGGCAGGCCTCAGCACACACACAGAGTCCCCTGACAAAGACTGAGAGACTTACTGGTTCCAGGCATTTAAGAAAATCTCTGTCTAACCATTAGCTGCTTACTAAGCTAACTGAGACTAACAATTAACGATGACAAATAACAATTATAACAAGCAGCAACAACAAATCCTAGAGAGGTTGTAGAATCTGATTTCCAGAGTGGCTACACTATATTACTTAAGGTACCCATTTTCAACAAATCATTACTTAATATGCAAAGAAACAAGGAAGTATGATCCATACTTGGGGAAAAAAAGCAATCAATAGGCTGCCCCTGAGGAAGCTCAGATACTGGACTTACTAAACAAAGATTTTAAATCAACTACTTTAAATATGCTTAGAGCTAAAGGAAATCAAGGATAAAGACCTAAGGGAAACAAGGGGAACAATGTCTTTACAAGAGAATATTAATCACAATAGAATTTGTAAAAAGGAACCAAGCAAAAATTTTGTAGTTGAAAAGTACAATAACTAAAATGAAAAAATCACTAGATGGGCTTAACAACAGATCTGAGTAGGCAGAAGAAACAATCAAATTTTAAGATAAAATCCAAGAGATGCACACCTAGACACATCATAAAAAAAAAACTTTCCAAAGACTGAATAACAAAAGACTGAATCAATAATTAAAAATCTTCCAACAAAGGAAATCTCAGGACCAGATGTTTTACTAGTGAATTCTTCCAAATGTTTATAGAAGAATCAACATCAATACTCAAACTCTTCCAAAAAACTGAAAAGTGAAGAGAAGAAAACACTTCCTAACACATTCTATAAAGCCAGGTGTTAATTCAGTAACACAACCAGACAAAAACATTTCTTTAAAAAAAAAAAAAACCTACAGCCCAATATTCCTTAAGAAAAAATCCTCAACAAAAAATAACAAACCAGAGTGACATCAGAAGCATGGAGTGAGAGATGTCCCCAGATCTCTCCCTTTGAAATGACAATAAGCTGAACATCTAAAACTCAACAAAAAAAAACAACCAACATGCACACAATCACGTCTGAGTGAGGGATCTGCGAATAAGAGCTACCATAGGTCAGAACCGCAGGAGTCAGGCAGTAGACTGGGAGAAACAAAAAAGCTGCCTCTTGCAGCCGGAGGTTCCGGCAGGAGGAAGGAGAGGAGAGAAGGTGTGGGGGGTTCCCTGAACAGCCCTGCCTGAGAGAGCTGCGAGCTCCATGCAGCGGCAGTGACCAGAGATCAGGGCAGAAAGCAAAACAAACTGGGGACAGCAGAGAAGCAACAGCCACAGTTACAAAACCCGAGGTTGAGCCACAACCCCCGTTCTCCAAACCAGAGGGAACCTCCGCAGATATCCTCCAAGACAGAACACCACAGAGCCCCAGGGGAATCTGAGTAAACACTACCAGAAACTGTCGCTAACACTGACAGGGACTAAACTGAGGGTAGCGATCATAACTGAATATTTGTAAGAAAAAAAGGCATTATTAAGGTTTTATATAAAACAGAGATCCAAGAGGCTTAGACATCACCTACTGGAAACCAAAAAAGAAACCTTTCTTAACAACAGGCTAAAGAGAGGCCTTTATATAATAAACCTTCTTTCTGGGGGAAAAAAAAAAAAAAAAGGTAGAATACACTTCCACTAATGCCCAAGTAAAGAAATAGTCCATTAAACACCATAAACAACCAAGATGACAAGGCAGTTCAGAAAGAAAGAGAAAAATCCCAAGAAAATTAGCTTAAAGACATAGAAATATGCAACTTAAATGACAGAGAATTCAAGATGGTACTTCTGAAAAAACTCAGTGAGATCCAAAATAATTCATACCGACAATTCCAGGAATTGAAAAAGCAACTAAATGACCACAATGAGTTTATTAGCAAGGAGACTGAAACACTCAAAAATAACCAAATAGAACTTCTAGAAATGAAGAACACACTGAAAGAGCTGAAAAATGAAATATCAAGCTTGGGAAATAGAGTCGACCAAACGAAGGAAAGGATCAGCAATACTGAAGACATATCCATAAATAAATGAGAAGGAAGAAGAGAGAAACCAAAGGATAAAAAATAATGAAACGGAAATACAAGAAATAGCTGATACTGTCAGGAAAAGAAACACAAGAAAAATGGGCATTCTCGAAGGGGAGGAAAAGGAGCAGGGATTAGAAAGCATTTTCAGACAAACAGTGGACGAGAATTTCCCAAATCTAAGAAATGAAATAGAGCTTGGAATTCAAGAAGTCAACAGAACACCCAATTATCTCAATCCAAAAAGGCCTTCACCAAGATACATTGTATTAAAATTATCAAAAATCAACGACAAAGACAGAATTCTCAGGGCAGCCAGGGAAGAGAAGACAGTAACCTATAAAGGAAAATCCATTAGATTATCATGGGACTTCTCAGCACAAAACTTACAAGCCAGAAAGGAATGCAATCAAATATTCAAACTATTAAACGAAAGTAACTACCCGCCAAGAATAATGTATCCAGCAAAGCTCTCCTTTAGATATGAAGGAGAAACAAAGACCTTTCCAGACATATAAAAATTGAGGGAATTCTCCACTACAAAGCCTGCAGTAGAGGAAACACTGAAAGGTATCAGTTCACCTAAGACAAAATGACAAAAATATATATATAAGTAAGGAGACTAGCAGAAAGATAGAAGGAGAACCAAACAACCCTTATAAAGAACAAGGTAATAAAACCTTAAACAATAAGAAGAGATTTGCTATTGCAAGATAGTAATGAACATTCAGCATACATAGTGACAAATTGAGACAACAATAACAGAAAAGGGGAGGATTCAAAGATCCAAACTCCCAAAGGGGAATGGAGATAAGGCACATGCAGAAGAAAATGGATGACCGTATATATATAACTATCCTTCATATATTCGTAATGGTAACCACACACCAAAGATTCAGAACTGAAGTATATAACATAAAACAAGAAGGACCAGATGGACAACCCACAAAACC